TATGATTTAAAGAAACAGGTACAGCATTGTTACATGATTTATATGTTGCCAACCCAACCGTTAGAATTATATTCCCAACACACGGGCCTTGAGTTTTGCCACCCCCTGGAGTAGAAAGTCTTGGTCTGATTTAAACTGACTTGAGAGAAAAAGGTGTGAGATTTCTCAAGCCAAACCAGGCCCCTTGGTAGCCTCTGGCCATGCGAGTTTTTAAGACCAGTGGTTAGAAACACAAAGGGAAGCCTATAATGTGAACAGTGCAGACCTGATGAAGATTCACCAGTAATCCTGGCTTACGAAACTCTGAATTGACAAAAGAAGGGATGAGCATCAGTTAAGCAAAGAATGTTTTCTTACCTTTTCCTAACATCTTTTTTCCCCTCTAAAGGAAGCTGAATTTCCTTCTTCTGTAGAAGATTTCAGATTAAGGTGGTGGATGTAATGCCCATCGACTGGCTGGATGGCTCCCCTTTCATCTTTGCAGAGGTGAGTAGCAAGGAAACAAGGAAAGCTTTGCTTTGGAACCATCTCCTGCATGATTATAGGAAGTCCTGGACTTACAACCGTTTAGTGACCTTTTGAAGTCACAGCAGCTCTGATAAAAGTGACTTATGACAGGTTTTCACGCTTACGACCGTTGCATCCCCCCCTTCCCCGTGATCACGTGATCGAAATCCAGAGGCTTGGCAACTGACTATGACGGCCACAAATGGCGCGCGCGGAATTTTTGTTCTTAAGCGAAAAATTTGTTAAGTGAATTTTTCCTTCATTTTATGACTTTTCTTAACCATTTATTGTGAATCACTGCCGTTGTTAAATTAGTGACATGGTGGTTAAGTCAATCTTGCCTCTCCATTGAATTTGCCGGTCTGAAGATTGCAAAAGGGGATCACATGATCCCAGGATGCTGCCAACTGTCATAAATATGAGCCACTTGGCAAGCATCTGNAGGCAGGCAAGCCCAGCAAAGTATCCAGACGTCGGTAACAGTCCATGAGGGTGGAAAAAGCAGCGTTTGTTCCTGGCAAACCGCGTCACTTGTTCCCCAGGTGAGCCTTGTGAAGAGGGGCAGTTGGGTGCCCTTCTCCGGAGTAGTTGGGCTGCCCTGCGCTGATCCCGCCTCCTCTCCATTCTCTGGGGTGGGGAGGGAGGTAATTGCTCGTCTGCTCCACTGTCTGCCCGCCCCCTCACCTGGTCTTCCTCCGTCACCTTTCCCTAGCCTGAGGGACCTGGGACTGCCTCGATCTGCTCCTCCAGTCGTTCCTCCATTGTCTCATCCTCGGACTCAGGCTCCAACTGGGCCATGACATGCCGTATTTTTCAGAGTATAAGATGCACTGGAGTATAAGACGCACCAAGGTTTTGAAGAGGCAAATTAAAAAAAAAAGTTTTTGCACTCTGCAAACCTCCCAAAAACGACTTGTTTTTGTGATTTCCCCCCCCAAAAGGATGAATATCCTTTAGGAGGCTTGCAGAGTGCTCCAGGAGACGACGACACCCTCCCCCCAGCAAGCAAAAAATGGCCCATTTTTCACACCCTATTCTTTGTGGCAGCCCCTGAGGTATTGGAAGACTGCTGTCATGTCACCCATAGTCCTTCTTTTCATTAAACGACATACCCAGTTCCCAAGAGTACTCTATGGGCCTCTTAAAGGCTATGCATGAAACTTTTGGACAACAAAAGTGGTGTTATAATGTTACCGTTACTATGAGCCACGCTGGCGCAGTGGTTAGAGTGCAGTACTGCAGGCGCCTTCTGCTGACTGCTAGCGGCAGTTCGAATCTCGCCAGGCTCAAAGTTGACTCAGCCTTCTGTCCTTCCGAGGTCGGTAAAATGAGGACCCTAAGTGTTGGAGGCAAGAGGCTCACTCTGGCTCACTCTGTTAACGGCTTAGAGAAACGGCTGTAAAAGCACTGTAAAGCGGTATATATAAGTGCTGTTGCCCTTAACCCTTCACGTGATCTTGATACTATCCCTCTGTTGATGCAGCCTAGAACTGTGTTGGCCTTTTTTTTGGCAGCTGCAGCACACGGCTGGCTCATTTTTTTTTTTATTGAAAATTTTGAAAAAAAAAACTTTTACAAATATTTACTTCCCTCCTCCCCCCAACCCCCCCCCAACCTTCCCCCCACC